CCCATACCACTAAATGTAGGTACCGCCTATATATATATATATATTTTATATGCCTTTATCCCGCCCCCTCTGGCCCATTATCGGTTTTTTTGTGTTGGTGTAGCTCCATTGTTTGCCATTAGAATGTCTTGTCTGCCGGTTTTAAGCTCCGAAGTTGTTTGTCGGGTTTTTGTCCGCAAAGATCGGCATACTACCTCATCGACTGCTTTGCTTTCTGCAAAATTCAAGTTCAAGATACAGCCCATGCGGGTGTGTTTTTTAAGTTATTTGTTGTATAGATCGAAAACAGCCAGAACTCGCACGAAAAGTAAGGCAAAAACACAATGGCATGGTGGAGATATCTTGAAGTTTCTAAACTTTCTTAGGGTTGTTCTCGTTGTCTAACATTTTCTAAGGGTGGTTCCCGACACTTTCCACCTTTCGGGGTGGTTTCCTGCCTATTCTAACAGCGCTTCTTGGCCTTCTCCGGCGTAGATTTCATTTATTTGGCTTGATTGACGGCAACGCCTGTCGTGTTTTAATGCCTATTTCCTACTTTTATTGCAAAGGGGTGGTTGTTATTATTTACGTTTTAGCGTACCGGCATTTGTTCCACCCTATCGGCATTTTTTCGAAATCCCACTCGCATAACTTCGTTATTTTTTGGCTACTTTATGCTAGCTTAGGGTGATGATAAATTGCTTAATTTATTGATAGATCATGAAATACGTTAAGGTATCTGGGTTAATGGTGTAAGGAAGGATGGAAGGATTTTTATATATGTACAAAAGTACAAAGGAAATGCCTCCTATACTCTCATATTTCATTCTTAAGAAATTTGTTCAAGCTAATTAAATATTCGGGAAAAAAGGGCAAGGGCATGATTTTGAAATTGGATATGTCACTTTTGTTAATACAAAAAAAATGTTCAATGTAGGTACAATGGTTTTGTTCATTATTAATTTTATAAAAGTAGAAGACAAATATTTAGAGGGAATATTTTCAATCATTTTCAACTTTTCTGTGATATTCTCGTATAAATCAACAAACTGTTGACTTAATAAGACACACCATTTCAATTAAATAAACCTAATAAACCAATTTAAATTTAAGAATCAATTAGATAATTGCTTTTTTAAAGACCTTTTTTGGGAAATACATTCCCACTTTTATTTTGTCGCTGAACTCGTAAACCTATTTAGCAACTATTAGGTCATTTCCATAAAAAGAAAACTCAAAAGGGGCCCGTCTGCCACTGGCAAACTTCATAAATGGGCTGAAGAAAAGTGCAATTGAGGTTCGCTAAAAAGGAAAAGCAACAGTTGCAACATGGTAAGTGGAAACGATGTCGACGTCATGGGTGGAAAATAAAAATGTCAATAAAAATTACAGCAAATTGCTGGCTGGCCAACAGTTTGGTATTAGGGGGCGGCAAATGGTCGCACGCAGGGTCCTTTGTGGGCCCTTTTATTATAGTTGCCAAGGTTACTATCCTATCCCCGGTGTCCTGGCGTCGATTGAGCGCTCGGCTGATTAAATTACCCGAGTGTATAGCGTGGGTAACGGGCCAAAGGACAATGGAGTAGGGGATCTGGATTGTATGGTGCATTAAGCAATTGTCCTTTTTATATGTGCCATGGCCATGTCGCCAGGCAGTCTCAGCGTCAGCGAGTCGCCGCGAAAATTGCACTTTTCAGTGCGTCAACCCAAAAACATTGTCCCTACAATTTCATTGATTTTCTCTGCTCCTAGCTGATGATTTCATTTTCAGACCCCAGCACACAGGAATCACTAGAATCCTTCGAGGCAAATGCAACACGTGACCGAAGACAAACGAAGTCCTTGCTGGAAACGAGGGCTTCTTTAGTAAGTCACATCATTTTCGCTTTTAAATTCGACTTTTGGCTGCCACCGATGACCGCAGAAGCCACCAAACCAGATGACATCACAACTTGTGAGTGGGTTTGATTGTGTGTCAGTGTGTTTTGTGTGCAAAATGATTGATGAGTAACCGTAAAACAGGGTTTTTGGAGGATACAGGAGGCAACTTGGCTAAAGAAGTAATGTTTAAAAAAATTTCTTAAGCATTTATCAAAAAATGTCAAATATTTTTATGTAATATATATTGTATAAACTGAGACAGAATTTTAGATATTGTAGAAAAAGTGTAATGACTATATAATATTTCTAGTCTATTAAAAATTATAGTTTTTAAGTTTCATCCAAAAAAAATGTATAAAAATAATTCTCTTACTAGGAAAACATTAATAGATTATATCGTTAGATATTAATAAGCCTTATCCATTTTTAAACCATAATTGACATATAAATTATTATTTTATTGTCAACAGTTCCATTACAAAATGCTAATAAAATATATAGTATTTGTAATTGATTTGCCTGGCTTCCATATACGTTTCCGAAAATCGCTTAATAATGTTTCCGTTCTTATGGCACTTGCTTAGGCTAATTATTCAGTTAATCACCGATTCGTAGCTTCTTGTTTGTTATGGGTTCATTACTTTGCCTGTTTATACGATATATATCCATTAACCAAAAGCACACACTGCCAATCGCATATCTATAAATTAACAACACAGGCACTTGTTCGTATGTGGCCAACTGTCGCCAGGGAATTCGAAATCGTATTTAATTGTATTTTTATTTCTCTCTTCTTTTCAAATTAAGTGAAAATATTTTAAATTCAACACTGGCTGGGGCACAAGAATAGCAGGCGACACCGCCGAACTAAACGCGCAGCGATTTCTAAAAGCGAAGAGGGACTACGAAAATAAGTTTTTCAAAAACAGAGGCCAAAGGAAAAACTATTATGTATAAGTAGCTAATAGAAAAACACACCGAAAAGCGCGCGTCGCGCGGCTGCTTCAAATAAAAACGACTTTGTTTTTATTGTATATATTTTTTTGGCGGCAGCTGCCAGAAGTCGAAGAAGCTCCGGCGTGGGTGACTTCGGTTCACGATTTCGCTTTTTTTTTGTCCGCGGTGCGCGTCCGAACGCCTCGAGTTTCGAAAGAAAAGTGAACCAGCCACCACAGCCAGACAATATTCACTCACATATTCGCTCACTATGGGGAATATCACCACTTTTAGTGGCATTAATTAGTTACTTAAAAACGAAGCAAGTTTTTTTTTTTTAATTGAGTATATACAACTTAAAGGAATTAAAATAAAAAAGATGGGCGTAATCCACCTTTTTTTTAAGAAAAAAATTTTTTTTTGACAATTTAATAAAAGAAATTTGTTTGTTATTTTTTTTTTAAGACCAAACCTAATTTTCTATTTTCTAAGTGATATTGGAATTTTATATATTTTATTACCATTATAATTCTTAACAAAAATACTAAAATCCCTTATATCAACGCTTAGTAAAAGAAAATATGTTGTAAGCTAGTTTTAAAATAATCGTTATTTAATAGGAAAGATAATAGCACACTGTTTTTTAAGACCTTCTGATAAGCAAAACCAATTTTTAACGACTTTAGAAAACTGGATTTTGTCCAAAAAAGTGGTCTAATTCCCCATAGTGCAAAGTCAGAGAATATTCAGCCAGCTGTTCCGGTCCGCAGGCCTTTCTACTTGGGGGGACGCGACTGTGACTTAGAGTCGGTTGAAAAATAGCATTGCATACTTTTGGTTGCCGGCACTAATGCTTAGCCCTTGTATCTGCTACGATTTTTGTTAGCAGCATTGCCTTTTGCCAAGATTTTCCCGGCTAACGAATTTTTTCGGCTGTCTGGAATTTTCAACCCTTAAGCTGCACACATTCGCACGGAAAGGTTTTCCACCCCCACAAAGGGAAAACCTCGGGGACACAGCACGGAATACAGATAGACACACGTGCATTGTAGTCGAGGGTGTTTTGTCTGGCTGATATGCATATGGGACATGCAAGACCATTTCCTTAATGAACTAGAAAATATTGACCTAATATGCATAACTAAAAGGTCTTTAATAAGTTGTCAACATGGGGTGGAACGCTAAATAAACACTAGTATTAAGTTCATGATTGCTTTGGTAGATTTTAATTGACTTTTACTGTCTGCTAAACAAATACTATTTGATTCCATTTATGTATTGGGTAGACATATATACTCTGTTTTCAAAACATAATTTATTCAAAATGTTAGACCTATCAGGCTTGCATTTTTAGTACAAGTTTATACTTTGATATTTATATTATTTCGATCCGAACATAATAATTATTTTCGTACTTTCATATAATAGTCTGAGAGTAATCTTTAATTTAAGACTTCAATATGAAAGGTGATACAAAACAATTCAAAAATTATCTTTATGGCCAAAGTAGTTATAACTATTACGGTCCCTGACTTTTATTGTCTTAATAAAGCCATCGAGTACTTATAAATTTTATTAATAGGCAATAAAATCTTTACTATCCTGCACTAACCTCCCCCAAATGCAAATTACCTAGTGCCCAAGCCAGGTGCAACTACCTTGAGTAACCAAACAAACTCTCCTTAACTGTCTTCCGAAACAGCTGCAATGGTTTCAGCGACTCAATGGGCTTTTTACTAAGGGAAGGAGGATAAAGCCACATATCCAGAAGCAATTGCTGCCCCACAGCTGTTTTCGCCAGGCCCCAAGTGCCAATTAAATTTAATTTAAGGCGACATTTGCCGCCAGCCACTCACAGTTGCATTTGTCTTCGGCCAAAAGAATGATGATGATGGTCTTTCGCTCTCAAAACGATCCTCATGTCGCCGCAGATACAGCCATCGGATGTGGCACATCGATGGGGCTATTTTTGATGCCACCGATTAGCCTATTGGCCGAGTGAAAACTTTTAACTTTAACCCTTTGCAGGGCGCGTGTCTGGGAATTGGAATTGGAATTGGATTTGGAATTGCTCTGGCTCTGCTCTTCTCACTGTCTATTTTTGGTTGGTGCCCGCTCGTACACTCGCGAAAAGCTAAAGACATCGGGTCGATCGGACGATCCCCGATCTACACTCCGGCGTAGCACAGATTCCGCTGCTCTTTCTGGTTTTCAGTAGAAAACCGTTGGCCGCGCAAATCGCACGGATGCGGGCGGGCTAATATCCAAGAGATACCAAGAAAACAGATCAGTCAGAGAACAAGAGAAAAGGTGGAAAAGACATACTCCAATCAGATCGGCGGATCGACGGACTGAGAAAAATACGCAAAATTGATGGTTAAAATAAATAAATAAATGAGTTTTCGGTGCGCGTCGAAAGTGCAGTGCGCGTTTCACAGCCGGATTGCGATTCATGTATCCATAATAAAAATGCCCAAAAGCATAAGACACAAATCGGCAAAAGTATTTCGAAAATAACCTGCAGCAACAGCAGAAAACACATTAATTTTCCAAATACCCCGCAAAACAAAAAATATAAAAAAGAAAGCAACAAATGAACGTATCTCACGGATGCGAAATTCGGTGTGCGGCTGTAATTTTAAACGCATTTCTTGCGCTTGTTTTGACATTGAAATGAAACAACAATAACAATCGGATAATTAAAACGGAGAAAACACACGCCAACAACAGATACAGATATACACCTGCCGTCTGCCCAACCTAGATACAAAAATCGATCTCTCCGAAGAGCAAAGAAATCAGGGAACTTGGAGAACTCAGGGAATACGAGAAGATGACCACGCGCGGTATACGGCGTAAGAAGTCTACTCTGACGGAGTTGAAGATTGCCGTGATCGGGGCGCCCAGTGTTGGAAAGAGCGGTAAGAATCGAAATACCGCCATGCCAAGTGCTTCCACAACAACAACAACAGCAACAACACAAAACAATCCGAGCAATAGCAGACGTATCCGAAAGATACTTCTGTAGCATGGATGCCGAGCAACAACAGCAAATTAGTTGAGCAATCGCCGATTCGTGTATATTTAGACATTTGTTTGTTTTGTTTATAAAGTGGCAGCATCAGCATACATATACGAATGCAGATATCCCCAATACACACCAACACACTCCCGCTGCCGGGAGTATCTGTGTGAGGCGGCTGCTGGCACTTTGGCATTGCCTGCCGCTTTAATCGCTTTCCACCGTTTGATTTGACAAGCGGCTCTGGCCAAAAGACCAGGCCATGCTCTAATTTACGACGACCCATAGCATAGTACACTGGAAAAATTACAGTACTAAAAAAGGTTTTCTTTGCTTATAGTTCAATATTTTTTGTTATTATTCGATTTGATTTTTATATCAACTATAGATTGTTTTTTTAAATTGTAAAAATTTTTTTGGGTATCTCTAAAATATAATAAATAGATTTTGTTTGTTTCAATCATTTCTCAAAATGTAAAAACTATTTTTTCTTACATGAACAGGTATTCTTAAATTTGTTTAGTGTAAGGGCTAAGATCGCATATATATGCTCAAAAGATCACAGATCATTGGCAGCAGAGACGTTGCATATTTCTTCGATGCAAACGACTTAGCATAAATTGATGTTCTCTGTCAGGCAGCACGTATGCCAGGAAGCCCTGAAATAAATTTAATTTGTAGCACTTTGTTGGGTCCCATGCCTGGGATGATACTAATGATGATGATGGCTTTAGCCGGGAAATTATTTTCGCGGCTGTCAACTTTAGGTCAGCCCTTCGAGGTTTATGTCCCTGGTGTCGAATAATTCTTCTAAATTTCTAGATATTTAAACTTTTGTAAAAAAAAGTGCATGGTAAAAATTCTCTAAAAAACCATTCCGAACTGGAGTTTCCTCTGCAAAAATTGATGGTTTTATTCTGTGAAATTCCGAAACAATTTAAATTTGTACCATTTTGTTAGGCGCCAGCCATGAGGCGGTGATGGCTTTGGCCGGGAAATTTATTCCGGCTGTCAACTTCGGGTTACACCTGCGTGCTATATGTCCCCGGTCACAAATAATTTTGAGTGCAAATAGCATAGAAAAACCGGCGGGGCCATCCGAAGATCGTGAGCAGTGGAGCCGCATGAAATATGACTAGAAAATATGCTCCACTAATAAATATAATGTGGATGAAAAACCAAGAAAAAAGACAACATGTCAGGCAGTCTGCAACTGGATTTGGCTTTTGTGACAAACGGATGAGTTACATTTGCTTGTGTTATTGATGGGGAGGAAATAATAAAGTGTTTGTATTTTGAAAGTTTTAATTGAAAGTGTTTGGAAGCCCTTAAACTGCCCTTCTTTGTTATAAACCTTAAATTCTTTTCATGCACTAGCGTATTACATATTTATTGCTATTATTTATACATAATTATATATCATGTCTTATCCCTTCTCTGAACTGAACACCCTTAGTAAAAATAAAACTTAATATGCAAAGTCAATTTAAATCAAATTGCAATTGCCCAAAGCAATTCAAAATCTCTTAATTTCCTGGGCCATAAAAACAAAACTGGCCAAAGCAAACGGAATTCCTCCTCCTATATCAGCTAAAATATAATGGCAAATGCATATTTGTTTAATAAATTTATTGCCACATATTTTAATGTCACTCCGCCACATTCTCTGGCCAAAGACCGGGGAAAATATTTAATTCAACTGTGTGTCTATGTCTGTGGATGCGGTGGGGCAATTAAATCGCCCACATCCACCTCCACGCCCGCCGAAAAATTCACCGTGCACCCGCACATACGCAATTGTCTATATGGCTATACATATAGACCTAGACGCGATCAGTGCCCAGCAGTCGGAGAAGACGCCATCACCATTGCCATTCCGGCGTCGTGCGTCGAAGAATTTAAACGTTGACCTCGCGGAAAATAAAAAAGAAAATTCGGAAAACATACATTTTGAGGGAAAAGCACTGGGCGAATGTATGCGGTGTTGGGAAAATAAATGATGAAAATGTCATTAAAAAGTCGCGAGGCAACCAAGGCAACCACTAGCCACACAAAAAACTCACACGCGAACGCAAAAAGCCATTAATACAGTCAGGCTTCAATAACTCAATTTATGATATTTGAAATTAGTTAGTATGAATTTAATAGTATCTTTAATATTAGGTATAGTTTCAAATAGAAACACAGTTTTTTAAATGCCTTTAAATAACCCTTGGTTCCAATAAATCATTATAAATCTTTCTTAAAAGCTTTCGAAAAAAGTCTTGACAAAACGCAATATCATATTGGGTTAAAAAATTCTCCCACACCTAAAGAAATTTTATTTTTCTTAAATCTGATGAGTTCTTCATTCTTAAGCTCCACTGTATATTCTAAACATTGTCATCCTCGCTTGAAGTGGCACCTGAGGTTTCGGTTCCCAGCGCTACTGTGTTGTTTTCGCTTAGCCGCGAGTTCAAAGGACTTGCATAGGAAATGACCAAAGACCAGGCCGGGCCCGGATGAACTTCACCCTCTCGACAGGACACGAGGCCTACGAAGGACGAGGTTTGTTGGCTCGAGGCACGCAACTTTAGGGCTCAGCGTTTTGTTGCCCGGCAGCCGAATCGGGTTTATTAACCCCACAAGGAGCAATTTCACCTGCCCCGGTCGCTCCCGGTTTTCTTGCATTTGTCCCTGCAAGCCATTTTGGCAGGACTCACAGGACTCCGCAGGACTACTCGCACTTCACGCTCGCTTAAGTGCTGACCCATATATCCTGGATTAGGGGTTGCTCGGTCTGTGGAGGGCGTTACCCTGGTTTACACCTGATCCCGCTGATAGCGAACCTGACAATAAATTAAATTCATGTTACGTAAATGGTTTTGGTTATTTAATTTGATTGCAGCTCTAATTGTGCGTTTCTTGACAAAGCGTTACATCGGGGAGTACGATCACCAGACTGAGAATCGCTATAAGCATGAAGCGATGGTGGATGGCGAACCGGTGCTGTTCGAAATACTCGACACATGTCCCAAGGTGAGTAGATCAATATTACGCAAAATTCTATAAAATATTATTATATGGAACATATTTTGTTTCCAGGCCGAGGACGAATACCCAAATGCAGCTGAGCTCGTCCAATGGGCCGATGGCCTACTGCTGGTCTACTCCATCACAGATCGCAAGAGCTTCAACTATATACGCCGTGCCAAATCCGATCTTCAGTCCGATACTCCCGTCCAGCTCTGCGCCAATAAAGTGGACATGGTGCACTTGCGCCAGGTGAGCCGCGACGAGGGCGAAATCCTGGCCAAGGACTTCGAGTGCAAGTTCAGCGAGGTCTCCGCCGCCGACCATGTGGACCAGGTGGCCGAGGTCTTTAACGAGCTGTGCAAGGAGGTGCTGGCCTCCAAGCGCAAGTCCAAGCAGAGTCTGCTCGAGAGGATGCTCGGCGGAGCACGGCCCTACAGCCGGGGGAAGAGCGACAGCAATTTGCCAAAAGACTGATAGCGGTGATGGTTGAGGATTTTAATGTAAATAAATGTAAATTTTTCTTAAATCAAACGACAGTTTTTGAAGTTTTTAGTTTATAGATGTTGATTGATTTTGAAGTCCATCAAGGAAGTCACAGAAATCTCTGCGGTTAAAACTCGGAAGAAACTTGTATTGATGGTAACGTACATTTCCCCCGAATTTGGCCAAAAGATATTTCTGTGACACCCCCGAATAAGGGGCTATCATAATAAAAGTATTATACATTCACAACTTTCACACTTTCAAAGAAATTATTTTCCCATTCTTGTAACATTTTCCGCATCAGGAGGAAACTTCTTTAGCTATGGTAAAATCTTTAACTGATTTTTTAGTGACATATTTTAAAGTAATAAGTCTTTCGCAACAGTTTAGGTTGATTGAAATCCGCATCCCAAAAATACATGTTTTATTTTGATATTTCTTCAATAAAAGGAAATGCATCTTACAACACTCAGCCTTTAACAGTTATCAAGTAATAATACAAGCTTTCAAAACTACTGATTCAATGAGTGGCGCCCCCTATACCTATGTAAGATATGGGTAAAATTTATGTAAAATATAAGAAAATCGTACGTATAATATAAGTAAAATAAATAGAACATGGAAGTCGGAAGTACAGTCTCGTGGCATTTCGGCGACTTTCCGGAACAGGACTGCACAAAACTTAGGGACACAACGACCACGTTGAAGAAAACCACCAAGTGATAAGTATCTCCAAGTCTATATGAAATACTTTTACCACCATAATTAGGTCAACAAAGTATAACACCTAAGCAAGTATATAATTCAGCTGTTGTTCTTATTATTATAAACGATATAACTATTAGTAAATTAAATCTAAAAACTCGATAAGAACAATAATAAAAATAAATAAGTGATAATGAAATAGAGTAAAGAATAAGAACCTTTTAAACTATGTACAGTCAAACTTCACAACTTTAAACGTTATTAAATACACTTCCTATTCAAATAAAACTAGATCGACTTATAAAGCCATCAAGTTTGTGAAGTTCGTGATATGGAAGTTAAACTGTATTTTTAGAGACACATATTTGAAATAACAACTGCAATTTAGCTAGTTAAAACCCACTATTAACGAAGAATGTGTCGGATCACTACTTAGTAGGTGATTCCCTATCCCAGAGGCGACCTTTGATATCGCCACCATCATTGGGCAAACTTCCGCCTTCAGAGCGCGTGTTTTTAATTAGCCAAAGTCAACAAGTGGTCCAGTGGAGCGTGTAAACCTACTTAAGACTTTCGGTTCCAGACCCTATATGCAGCTCCAGATGAGGCTAGCAAACAGATCACTTTGTATTCAGTTGTTGACATTGCGTCAGCTCTCTTTCTGCGTATCCCACTGTTACCCGATTTGTTTACGAAGCTAAAATCATAATATTGACACCACAAGTCAATGGGAACAGTGATGAGATGATGATGCGCAGAATCAGGCCCAAATCAAGTCGATTCGAATCGCGTGCCGCTGCCTGGAGTGCAATAATTATCGCTCATACGCCCCGTCGACCATCTGGCTGAATGCCTTTAAAGCCAGACAGGTCGGCTGCTTGGCAACCAGCTAATGGGAAATTATATGCACGATTTTCTTGCGATTGTTTAACAACAACATTGACTGCTTTTGGCATGAAATCTCACAGGTTTTCTCCACTTACTTTTAGTACTTATGTACTGTCGTTTTTTTTTCTCTGCAGCTTTGCTTAATTAGTATTGCATTTAAAATTCTAATTTTAATTTATGATCGAAAGTGGTCTTGGTATCTGGGCCCTTAGCTACCGATGCAGCACTTATCTGGGCCGCCAGGTGCCGTAATCCATATTCCGAGTGGTTTGAACTGTTTAAAAGTCGCGCAGCTGGCCAACGTGGTCGTAATTGTCTAGCCAATTGGTGCTGTAATCGTTTTTAATTATGGACACTGTGACATTACTAGTTCTGGGGAGAGACTTTGCATGCCCCGCAGAAACAAGATGGATTCTATATTAGTGGGCCTTAAAAACATTTTATAAAAGGAATGTGTTCAAACAGGAACATAAAACATTAAAACAAATTGACTAAGATTCAAGATTAACATGCCTGTCTTAAGAAGGTGCTATAAATATCAGATCAATGAATCGCAGAATAGTGCTACCAATATGTTATAATATTTAAATTGCTTGTAATATGAATGTGGGTTTAAAGTGAGATATAAGAGCAATCACATCTAAATAGAAAGTGTGTCAGCATTCAGGGATCCCCCCATAAAAAAACCTGGAAGACTAGTAATCTCCACCAGGGAAAATCTATGTAATACTACGAATATCTTATCTAAAAATATCGCACTTATTTATGGATGCATCTCTCACGCCCCTAAATATTCATAAGACCAGCTGTTCTAGCTTGGATATGCAAATGAGGACTTAGAGAATAAAAAAACACCCTCCCAGCCCCTGGAGATTGACGGGGTGGAAACCTGTTCATACTCTAATTAGCCCGAGAGCTATTGCGATTATAAATGCTCGATCATTTAAATTGGAACCGGCCAACAGGTGCACCTCTGGCTAACGGTTTGGCTGCAGATATTCACACCTCCAGCAAATAGTCGAGGTTCCAGCTAAGTATGAGAAAGACTAGATTTAGTATCTCTGAAAAGTTCAAGACTCGCGTTTCGATTGCAATTAATTGGCACGAAATGGCGGCCAGAATGCCAAAGCCAAATGCAGAATTTGGCCATGCCAGCTGTAAGTCATTGACTTTGATATTCGATTAGCCAAAGCCAAATATCAAATACCAAATACTGGTAATAGCAATAATGGCCGTAGACATGTTCTAGTTAATTCCTTTGGCTACTGTCAAAGCCAAGCTCCAGCTAACCTTGGCTTTTGTATTTTGGGTTTTGGTTTGTTCGCTGTGTGCGCTTTTTTATGCGGCTTTAATTAGCCAAATTTGAAATGTTGGCGGCGGCTGTAAATGAAACGTGTTTCGCTCTTGGAGCTCTGCGCACTGCCACTGGCTTTATTCTTGTTTTGTGTTTTTATCGTTTTATTTTCTTCTCGGCAGTGTAAAAAACTTGAACAATTAATGAAAAGTGTTTAATTGCAAAGTGCATTGGGCTTCCGGCAATTATCTCGGCGTTGCCCCGGTTCAACAAACCCGTGCCAGCGCCACGTTTCCTGCAACCCTAACCCATTTGCTCAGTGGCCTTGACAGAAGACCATAAGAACCTTATGTTCCGACCAGGTCCAAACTGACCAGCGGCACGTAGTCCGCCGATTCCAAGTCGCTCTTGGCAATCGAATCAAGTGCAAATGTTTGCCCACGCCAAACGCAGCGCTAAGTATTTAGCCAGCCTTTTAAACCTGACCCAAATCAGTCGGACAATTACCCGATTACAGCCCCAACAAAAGCCAACTAAAGTTGATAAATGCCCAGCCTTAGCTCCAGCTAAACTTCGCTGCCAATTCATATTTTTTAGTATCGAGTAATGGCCATAATGGAGATATATCAGCAATTGTCATTAACTATAGTATACCAAGTGCTTAATGGGTATATCGAAGCAGGCAGTTTGTTAGGCATTTTAATAAACTTTTTTTTTGTTATTAAATAGTTCGGTTTAATTTTTCAAGCCTAAGGGCTGTTAAAATTATTAAAGTAATTAAAATGCTAGTGTTGGGCATTAAACTCAAATTCAAGTCTATAAATGATTCAATGTTTCTACTATAATTTTAGTACACCTGCATGAGATTATGACCAGGCTAATTAGCTAATAAACCTTAAATAAAAACTAGAACACGCTTAAGTTCAAGATTAAGTTACGAATGAAATATTATAAAATTTTGATCCTATGACCTTCTTTATAACTCACATGTAAGAGATTCTGGTCATTAAAATTTTAATTATAAATAACAAATCTTACAAATCTTACATGAATTCTATTACAATAACCCATTGAAATAACACATTACACACGTGTAAGAGATTCTAGTTATTAAAAATTTAATTATAATTAAGCTCACAATTCTTACATAAATTCTATAACATTAACCCATGGGAATTCCCAAGACTTGGCTTAAATATTGGCTCAAGCCAAGTGTAAAGTGGCTTAAAGTAACACCATTGAAGCATAAAGGCAATATTCCAATAAATAATTCAAATCAACTGCATGTCAATCCATCAATTTCTTTAAGATTAGTCAATAGGGTTCAGTAATAATATATCTTTAGACAAGCAAATAAACCTCTTTTCCGCACACCTACAAAAGATTGTAGGTATTATTGCAGTAATTAGCTAATAAAAAATCTCTCAAGGGAAATCCCGAGCCCTAGTTAATATACACCCAAAAAAAAAATCGCCCTTAAATCAAGAAATTCGCCTTTAAATCAAGAAAATCGCCTATGATTTTCATCCAACGGCGACTCACCTTTATTTTAAATAAATAATTTTCTTGAATTTATGGTATGCCATTTCTGGGGATAATGACAAATTTTTCTTAAATGTATGGTAAAAAACCTTAAAATTAAGGAAAAATTTATTAAAATAAGAAAAAAAATATTTTTGATGTAAGATTACATCATTTTACATTTTACACCTTACATTTGAGGAATTTGGTTGGTTTTGTATACCAATGTTAAATTTTAAATGGATAAAACCGTTTCTAATTTTAATGGCAATTATTACATGGGAATACTACAGTCTGAAAATTTTTTTATTTACCTGAATTTATTAAAGATTTATTTTATATAAATACTTTTTATAAACATATAAATAAATATAACAAATGGAAAAATCCTTACCTCAGACAACCCCGGCTGAACTCGAACCCGCAACTGCTCACACCATAGCCAGACGTCTTAACCATTCGGCCACGCGTGCTTCTTGTCATGCAATGACTAAAGAGGGCTAAGGTGCTTTTGGTCCAGCTTTACGCATACAAATAACGTTTATTCTAATCTAAACCTTTTTAACAACCGTTTAAACAATTTGGTAAATAGAAAAGTGAAACTAGTAAGAATAAAAATTACATAAATTAAAAAAAAAAAGAAAAATAAATAAACAAAGGGTACACTTGCCGTGGCGTGGGCTCGAACCAGGTACTTTTGTTCGATTGTTTATTGACCGGACGTCTTTACCAGCTAGACCACCATCAAAATGTACAAAAAAAAGTCACTTTCTCTTAAAATATGGGTATTTCTTTCCTAAATTTAAGTAAGAATTTACCATTATTTCAAGAAAAAAAATCAAGAAAAATTCGCCATTAATTGAAGAAAAAAATGGGATTCTTCCTCTTCTTCATTACAAAAAAAAAAAAATTATGGCGAATTCCTTAAATTGTAGGCATTTTTTCTATAATCAAGAAAATATTTCTTAATTCAATGGCGTTTTAAAATCACGGGCGATTTTCTAATATTTATGGTGATTTTTTTTTTGAGTGTAAGAAAACACCCCGTTCTGATGATCGGCACACCTGCGAGGGCATTTTAGTTTCGATACATCTGTCCCTTATCGTTCTGATTTCATATTAATATCATTATAATTGGACGACAACGTGGGCGTTCCCACGATTCCCCTCCATATCGCCTACATCCGATCGGCAGCCGCTAATTGTCGCTGTTGCTGTGCCGCCGCAGTTCGAAACTATTAGCACATTCAATTTCAATTCACACAGCCAATTATTATATCACAATAAACTCATACTCGCAGTCGTACACGTATTGTAATTGCCATATGATAAATCCGCTCAGGTGTTATTTATTTATCAGATTTTTTTTTCCTTTCCACAATTAATATGCTGAGGTAGGTCATGTTTTTAACACAGCTGTCGCTTTTGATAATCAGAAAATTATTAATTTAAATACTCTACATGCCAGCTAAATATCAATCATAATCACAGGCACCGAAAATTGGACAGATAAAAAATAGTTAGGAAAGAAAAGCTCTACAGTAGTAATTATAGCATGCTCGTGTGCAATTAAAGACTAATTACTGAAGCTCGCTAATTAAAATAAATTGGCATAGCTTAAGAATAGAATAAAATATTTCCATCAGAGGCCCCTTTCCAATTGTTAATCATGACTACAGGATCTTTGGCAAGTCAAGGTGTGCAAAAAAAAACCATTGTCAATTGCTAGAGGCGTTTTTTTAGTGCCTCAGCCACTCCCATAAATGTAGTTCCTTTTCGAGTTTAAACGGTTTCAACTTTATTCATATGATAGCGAATAAATATACACACATATAAGAGGGAAAGACATATTTATTTCTGATATCTGCACGTTTTTTGCACTATTAATATTTTTTCTTTTATTGTTTATTTTTGCAGAACCAACGAAGCCTGGCTTGGGGACCAACTGCGCTTTAAATTGGTTATATATTTGTATGCGAATATAATTAGTTATTAGTTTGGCTAATTGCTTGCAGAAATGTTAACACTTGGTTGGCTTTCGATCCAATTGCAACTACATCGAACAATAAGAATAAAATTTCACGCTACGTTAACTTTAAATATGTAATATTCTTGATCCCAATGTCGAATTCACTTGAAATTGTTTGTAATTACTTTATAATGGTATATATTGTGGTCCAAGGGTTTTTGATTATTAAGTACACATCAATCAGATTTCTTAAATATTTTGTATATAGATCGACTTTTTAATATTTTAATAAGCATTAATACGATTTTATAAATATTTTGTATATAGCTCAACTTTGCTAATTTTTCTTATTTCACTCTCTCATTAATTTCCCTAAATTCACAATCTCCTTCCCTTAAAATGTTCTGTTTAATTCAAGTTTTAAAATAAAAATTCCCTTTTCATGTCGTAAATGGTTCCCTAAACACAATCAGACTTTAGAGTTGCTAATTACCAAAGAAGATAATCAAATGAAGAAACCAAAGAGTAATTATTTTTCAATTGCATTTTTAATTTTATTAATACACAAAACTTAAATAAAATAATAATGTTTAAACTCTACATACCTACAATACAATACGTAATAGTCATAAGCATAATAATAGATAATAATAATAATAGTACACAATAGTAATATTGTCGTTTACAGTTATTGTACAATGTAAGAAAATTCTGTTTTGTTTTCCATTTCATTTTGATCTTTTCCGTTTTTTTTTTGCGTTTCCTTGATTGTTGTATTTTTTTCGCCATATTTTGTTTAGAAATACTATCTCCGAATGAAGTTATAATACCGGGAATACTATATCGCGTGTCTATATAGTCTAGGTAAATATTGTGAGAGACAAAAAGAAGATAATAATAATACAAAAACATTTTGTGTCTGAGTATACAATCGGTTTTGTGTGGTACTTTGCCTACTAAGTGCGGATGTATATGAACTTTGCTTTCCCAGCACTCTTCACTTCACTTAATTCGCTTTGCTTGGCTTTGTTTTCACATCACTTAAACGTCTAACGATTTTTTGGTCCAATAATAGTTGCGGTGATAAATATGCGGGTCTGGTGTGTGGAAATCGGGGGTGATCAACAAATAAATATGCTTGTTTTTACCATGTGCGCGATTTGACAAAATATCAGAACTTTAGATGACAATAAAATAAAATTAAACAAAAAACAATAAACAAAAAATAAAAATAATGCGCGATAATGCCTTAATTTTGGTTTAAGGATTACGTGTACGAGGGATTGTGCGGTATGTCAATTTAAAATTAATTTGTAAAAATGAGACCGTTGCACCTGTATGTGAATGTTTGGTGGTGGTGGGGGTGGGGCTGTGGTGTTTTGGGCGGTGTTTTTTGGGTGCTTCTACATATTTTCCCCCCATCCATTTAGAACGGGCGTCGCAGCTTGGCGATGGCGTTGGTCAGGTGCAAGATCTCCGTGTTCATCTGGTGCACCAGGGTCTCCAGCTTGTCAACGGAGTCCAGAACCTCGACGCGCTCGGTGTGCGGGTTGAAGCGCACCTCGAAGGGACGCGACATGGTGCTGACCCAGCGACGGAACTTGTCCTTGGCATCCTCGAAGCTCTCGGCCACGTAGTAGATGGGCTGGTACTCCTGGTCCTGGTAGGGCTGCACAGCGGTGGAGGCGGGCTCGAAGGCACGGTGCTCGCACTTGTCGCTGATGGCGTGGAGCAGCTCGCCGTAGGAGCTCAGGAGTCCAGCGCCGTAGGCCTTGATCTGACCGTGTTCCTTGCAGAGACCGAACTCAACAGTGAACCAGTAGACCTGGAAATTACGAAGAATAAGAATACTTATTAGTAACCAATGAAAAAGGGAAATACTTTATATCTTTACGAAAGAAATTATGAGGAATTTTCAAGATTACGAAATGTTGGGTCTTATAAAAGTTATGGGATCATAAAGTTAGGATTATGTAGATAGGTCTAAAATATTTTAAGGACCCAACAATGTCAGGATCATTTAAAAAAGTGATAAATATTTGTAGGACTCAAACAAGTTAGGATAATTTATAAAGGTGATAAATATTTTTAGGACTCCAAAAAGTTAGGATCATTTATAAAGGTGTTAAATATTTTTAGTACCCAAAAAAGTTAGAATCATGTATTTAAATATTAAATATTATTAAACAAATTGTAAAAAAATTGTAATCAAATATCACATTTCATTTTTCAAGACCCAGTTTTTTTCGGATTGGAAAAATCATTGAATCGAACTTTTTCTGTGTGACTTTGACAGTGACTAAACAATGATCTTGGTGGCGAGCAAAACCAGCCGCGTCATAGCTGCACTTGAGGCTAAGGTCGTTGGTTGCAACTCAATTAAAAACTCACCGTGGACAGCTTCTCGATTTCTTCGTCGGAGGCACCCAGCGAGGCCAGTCCAATCTCCTGCGAGAACTGGGCGAAGCTGGGATCGGCCAGCAGGGGCATGTGACCCAGCAGCTCGTGAATGGAGTCGCTGTAATGACAGAGAATAATGCTTGTTAAAAGTGTGGAAAATGTGCTGGCATAAAGCAATTAGCCTGGTTAAATGAGCTGGGCAGCCGGCCGCAGTTCCTGTAGCCAATTTGCCTGTGTTCCGAGGCACAGAAAGTTGGCTCGGCAAGGAAAGGCGGAAAAGGAAGCCCCGGCACACACAGGCAGAGCAGGCAAATGCAATTAGGCTAGGACAAAGAGCCTTTTTTGCCCCCTTTGAAGTGATTTTAACCCCCTGGTAAAATGTATATAGACGATGGTAATAGATACTTACGGCTCGGGGGTGTGGTAGGGCGAGTTGACGTGGCGCACATACTGGGTGCTCTGGAAGATGCGGAAGGCCAGGGAGGCGAGGAAGTCCCGGGCGGTCAGAAGACCGGCGGCAGGACGCAGCGAGAATCCGGTGTTCTTGCGCAGGAAGTCGGACATCTCCTGCAGCTGGGGCAGACGGTTGTCCACGAAGATCTGCTCATCCTGGAGCTTCTGGAAGGCGGCCCGGTACTCGGCACAGGCATGCTTGGGAGCCAGATCCTGGACGGTCTTGAAGACCGAGCGCCAGGTCTTGACCTCCACATCGGAGTAATCGATGTATGGGATCGGGTCTCCGTACTTGTAGGCGAAGGCAATCTCGGCGATGTCCTTGCGGCGCTGCCTGTAGACCTTGTCGGCGAATCCGGGATGGTTCATGTCCAAATCGGGCTCGTACTTGGTCATCAGATGGTTGCAGTTGTCCAGCTCGGAGGCATGCTTGGGGAACCAGGGGGCCTTCACATTGAGGTTATTGTCGGCCATCAGGTTCATGCTGCTGAAGGAGCCCGACTGCCTGAGGGAGCGGATCAGCTGCAGCAGATTGCCGCGGGTCATGTCCAGCTTGATCAGGACATCGTGATCCACGCCCTCGACACGCGACTGGCGGGACTCCACATGCTGGACGGAGCCGTGGAAGGTCTCGATGGCCTTGAGGATGCGACCCAGGGAGGAGATGCCCTCCTTGAGGCGCACCACCAGGGCGGCACTCTGCATGGCAGCCTCGGCTTCCGGGGACTCGGATGCGGCATTGGCCAACAGAATCTCGTCCTCGGTGAGACCGTAATCTGCAAAAAGGCCAGGAAAGCAAAGGAAAAAAATTATATTATATTATGGTAAGGATGCAATCATCTGCGGCTTAGGGTCACGTAAACGATAAGCGGGCTACGTGGGCGGTGGCGTTGCCAGGCAAACGCATTTCATACTTTTACTAAGTCGAGCGTAACAAATGAAAAAGGGAAATGCGACATTTCAACGCCCGCACCCACTCAATTGTCCGTGTGTTGAGTGCTTTTCCTCCTCTGGTCCCGGCACTTTATCATATTAAGCACTTAAATCAATGTCGCACGCTTTTCAAAAGCCCCTCAGAAGTTAAGTACTACTTATGGTAGCGAACCCCCTGCTCACCGTTCTTGGTCGGCTGGCGTTCGCCTTCTGGCTCCTGCGACTGCGATTGCGACTGGGATTGCTCCTGTTCAACGCTCTCGAACTCAACATCTTCCTCAACTAAAAGGTAATCAAATAAAAAGAAATAATAAAAATCATAATCCAAATCAAATCAAAGACAATAAGCTTGTAGGAAGGGCGAAAAACAAAAGGGGGAAGGGTAGATATTAACCTGCAACATATTCTTCGTCCAGGGGCAGGTTCTCCAGATTGGCTTGCTCGTCCTGGAGCTCCACATTTTGCTCGGCAGGAATGTGCTCCTGAGCCTGCAGAATGCAATCCTCCAAAGAATCGTCTTTAAAATCAAAAAATAAGAACAAAGGGTAAAAATAAATTAAGGGGAAGAATAAATAATAAACTAAGGTAAGGGTAAGGTAAGGTTAATAATTAACAAACTGAGATATATAAAAGATAATTTGGGAATTTTTAAAGAACAATTTAAAAAATCGAATTTGATTTAAGCCCACTTTTCAAGATTTAAAACACTATTTAAGGTTTTTGTATTTTTAAACACCCACTTGTTGAGTTCTCAAAGGCCAATTTAAACCCCCTTTATAAGCACTTTACTGGAGTTTTAAGCACCCACTTGTTGGATTTGGAATACATACCATTTGCCTTGCTGCGGGCCTCCTCGAGGACGGTTTGTTTGGTCTGCTTGACCACCAGGGTCTCGAAACGGGCATCGTCCACCAGGCTGCGACGGCGGGATGGATAGCCATTCTGGAAGAGATAGAAAGGAATCCCTGTTAATGACGTCGGCAGGATGTGCAGCGGAAATTGGATGGTTGCCTTGACCTTCAGGCCCGGGTGGTTTCTTCGCCACGCTTGGGTGGTGATTTTGAGCAGACTATTGCGCAATTTTAAAGCTTATATAAAATGCCCGTGAAAGCGCCGTCTTCAGATCTTTTCTTTGGGTTTCTTGTATAGACCCGGGCTATTCATGCAACCGAATTGATTGTGATTCAAAGCCCCGAATGGTAATTTAATGCGATGTCACCGATTCAAAGCCGTAAGGTGCGAAGATGAATATTATATGGCTGAAAGCCATCAAAAGTCCCCATGCGATTCTGGGGGGAAAAATGCAACTGGCAAGCGTTAAAGGGGGGAAAAAAGGTT